CGTTCACACAACACCATAACCACTTGGAATAACTTAGAGAGAATTCTACACTTCATGAAATCGGCTAGCCCTTTCTTTCTCTCACTAGTGGCCGATTTTGGTCAAGAATAAGATCTATATATAGTGTTATAATTAGGGTAAACTCTAATTGTCATGACTTTCCATTTCCTTGGATCCATGGGTTCAAAAACACCATGGAGCATCCATGGACCATCCTATGGGTTTTAGCCCAACTTGATTATCCATGGAGCATTAGCCCACTATACAAGTATGGATGATTTACACAATCAACCCATATATTTAATTAGTCTTCTTTTGATCACTTAATTAATCCTAGATTAATTCTTAATCAATACTAATTAAATAATCTTATTATTCTTATTATTAATATACTAGAACTTATAATATATTAATAACCATAAGTGTCTTATTTCTCTCATTATAGTCTATCCAAGTGCACGATGCCATGCAACCCAAATGGACCATGCCGGGTCGGGTCAAGTCTTACCAATTATAGTTATGGACTTAGACATTAATCCAACAATATCTGTATGATATGTTACGTGCATGATAGGGATAGTGGTCCTTAGGACTAAGGGGTAGGTCAGTACCCGGATATGCCTGATTGTATGCTTATATCTTGTTATTGTATGCTTATATCTTGTTATTGTATGCTAGTGGTAAGGGGTGGAATAGTCCCCAATTACTGGTTGAAAGATACCGATGATGATTACCGGTTGAAAGATACCGATGATGATTACCGGTAGAAAGATACCGATGGTATTATATGGTATGTGGTATGATGGGGGGGGGGGGACTCACTAAGCTTTGTGCTTACGGATTCAGTTTTTGGTTTCAGATACCTCTTTGTCTAAGGGGAAAGAGTCGGCGGCGTAGCATGGCATCACACACACATCTGATTTTCCGCACGACGATTTCTGGGATTGTACTCTGATATGATATTTGTTTGTGTTGTGGGTTTCAAACATGATACTTGATTTTATGAGATGACATGTTTATACAATATTTTCTAGTGAATGTTTTATGAGTTAATTAATTAAAAATGAAATTTTTGGACTTGAATTTTGGGATGTTACACATATTATCCTAGTGTATAAACATATAAGTCATATACTGCCTATCTCATCCGGGTGCTGGCATACCCCTTCGGCCTATCGACCGGTACCAAGGTCTATCCTACCCCTCCTACCACTATCACATAACATCATAGCATACTAGCACATAAGCATAACATATAGCGACAAACTAGATAATTATCACAAAGACAATCATCTCTACTATAGCTCTTACTATTGGGTCGACATTGGTGCCATCGACCCACTTATACTGGAAGGTAACTCACTTCAATGTCGTGAAGTAGTTGAATTGTCCTCGGTGTTGGGATTAACTCCTCTCAAACTCCTACACATAATAATCTCGTTCAATTATCCTTTCATACTCATGACCCCTTTAGGGTCAATTATGGTCAAAGTCTAAGTCAAGGTCAATACCCTGGTCAAAAGTCAACCTTTGGCCAAAGTCAACATTAAGGAAAAGTCAACATTAGGTCAAAGTCAACACCTGGTTAACTCAACTCGCCGAGTTCCATAAATTAGAGAATCTTGAACTCGCGATACAAATCATCGGGTTACCCTCTAACTCGCTAAGTTCTCCCTTATGACATAATCGAGACTTTTCGTTTGAGCTCGTCGAGTCCCTCATTGGACTCGTCGAGTTCTCCTTCATATAGATTCAAGACATTTGACCCCTAACTCGCCGCGTTCCTCCTTGACCTCGTCGAGTTCTCCTTCAATCTTCAAGCCCAAGTATATATAACCTTTAACCCTCTCAGGTTGAGACGGATATGTTGAAAAATGACTTTTTTTTTACTCTTAGGTATTGTACTTTGCTCATATGACTTCCAAACTGTACTAAACTCTAAAACTCCATAAATAAGTCTGAACGCCTTAAATAAGCATTGATATAATATTATCGTATCATTTAAGTTATATATTACTCATGATTTAATGTTTAAGACATTTAAACATCATAAGAGTTAATTAGTGAACTTATTTAGACATCATAACATCAATAATGGTCCACAAGCTCATAATAGCTTCCAATTATTATGTAATTTCAACAACCAATTTTAACGTGTTGAATAATTGTTATGAATGCCAAATAAAATTTCAAATTGTTTATTATTTGATACATTAAGGACTTAATGCTTCATGAATCAATGCATCCATGAAGACACTAATCATGCACTTAATGTCTTATGTCATTAAGGACTTCAAAATGTTATTAATCATTTCAATATAAACTTAGGATCAGTATGATCTTCCACACCATGACTTAATAATCCTCTAAAATTTATATTCTAATTCAAGGTCATGATTCCAACCTTCCAATGTGATTTCATGTAACAATTATGAAGTTGTGATGTTCAAATATTCTAGGAGTTTTGTGAGTTCATGTATACCTTTGTAAAACCATAAACACATTTATAGGTTTGGTTTGAGTAGTTCATTTGCAATTTTTATATATGTTTTATAAAGTCTAATTGGATTCAAAACCTCCAACCAACTACCTAGTGGCATACAGGGTAAGGCAGCGGCTTTTCATATGTGAGGTATACTGTTTAAGTCTTGGGGATTTCAACTAGGATTCAGTTGGAAAATGATATGCGATATACTCCCATGTCTTAACATATATCCCAAAGGGCGAGCCATATTATTATCCTTTCAAAAAGTAAGAAGCCATAGTGGACGATCAAAAACCAATTATTAATTAGATTAAATATTTAGTTACTTAATTCCAATGATGAAACACCATTAGTATTACCAATTACTATCACAAACTTCGATTAAACAATGAAATCATAACTAGAAAACATTAGTATGGACCAATTTCCATAAAAATAACTTACATTTAAATCCATTAATGAAACTATAAACATATTACAAGTCATACAAGCATATATATACAACTCATTCATGTGGTTAGGGTTCTAAATCATCAAATTCCATCATTGGATGTGGAATTTAACCATCCATTGGTTAAACTAATGATCTTTCATATATATATATATATATATATATATATATATATATATATATATATATATATATATATATATATATATATATATATACCATTCTATCGTCTTGACTAAAATATGGTGAATTATTTTTACTAAAATATGACAAACATTTATATCTAAAAAACAGTCATACAAGGATTGTTTCACCTATATAATCATGTAAGACTACAAATTTATATTTAAAAAAATATTCAAAAAATTATGTTTATAAAATGACTAAAATGTGGCAAATGTGTACTTTTTTTGTTTGTGAGATTCCTCAAATGTAATATCTATAGGGTTGTGGGATGTCCTAAAATGTTTACCAATGAACACATAAGATGATACATACACTTTTGTAATTTTTGTCGGTTTTAAAATTGATGCTAATAAAAAAAATAAGGGAGAAGGGATTATTTTTCAATGTTAAATCAAGATAGAGAAATCGGTAGAAGTTCATTGGTGAACTTTACCGTCGGTAAAAAAAGGTACAGATGAGCAAAAACCGAACCGAAAACCAAAAAATCGAAAAAAACCGCGACATAACCGAAACCGAAAAACCGAAACCAAATCAATAACCGACGGTTTAGGTTTAAATTTTACAAAAACCGAAAAATAACTGTTTGGTTTGGTTTTAACATATAAAACCGTCCATAAAAAACGAACCGACCCACATATATATTATTTATTATGTTTTAAACTTTTAGTTTTAGACTTTAGACTTTATCCCTTTAGTACTTTATGTTTATTTCAACAAACTGTTAATGATGTTAAACTTTGATCTTTTGAACACTTTTGTACTTTTAAAATACTAGAATCCGTACTTTTTATTTTAGTATATTTAAAGTAAATACAATACTATTTATCACAACGCACTTTCATTAGGTTTGAACCCCAAAACAAGAAAAAAAAATAGAAGCTCATAAACCCACAATTTAAAACCGAAAACCCATAAACTTAACCCGGAAAACCGAAAAACCGAACCTATATGGGTTTAAAAACCAAAAAACCGACTTTCTACGGTTTGGTTTGGTTTTAACCAAAAAACCAACCCAAACCAACCGATGCTCATCTTTAAAAAAAGGTAGAGGGACGGTCTTTATCACCGATAATAAGTGCCACAGAGAAATACCGCCCACAAGATTTATATGACACCATTTAGCTAAATATTACTTATGTCATTCTTATTCTAAAGCATTTTGTAATATGCTCAAATATTGTACTCATCAAAGTTCAACCGTTCAACGTTAAAAACATTATTCGAGATCATTTTATAACATGTCAAAAATTAATATCCCAACTTCAAAATTCATAACTTTTAATACTGCATCAAAAAGTTATCCACATAAGTTGTAATTACTAATAAAAAAATATAGGATGTTGCAAAGCCTGTGTGGTCATCATTCGTAGGTGCTGTTTGTTTTCTTAAAAAAAAACCACTTCAAACCACTTATTACTGCACCGCTGCACACGCGCATCACTTGGTCATTCGCAGCTGTTTGTTTTTCAGAAGAGTTCTGACTTAAAAACTGTTGCGCGTGTGCTGCGTGACGCAATACTAAACCAACTGCTTCAAACCTCTTCACGCATTAGTTTAACTTACTGCAGCAGTCTGCAGACGTTAAAAAACAAACGTACTTTTTATTACATGTTGCAGCCGTTTGTTTCACCTCTTCTGATACAGAGGATTGCAGAGGTGATCCACAAACTTCACGCAATTTCTCTTCGGATAAACAACCAACACCGTAGTCTAATGTAACTTATTTTTTAGTCGACTAATTCATATATTTTTTTGTATCATTTTTATGCTGAAAGTGGCACTAATAAAAAGGACAGGGGTACATTTTGATCAAAACTCAAAGTAAGGGGAGTCATTTGAAAGTTAATACCAGGTTAAGGTAGAGCAAAAATGGCCGCACTTCTTAAAACCCAGAGGCCAAAAGCCAAAACCCTGCCGCGACTTTGGAGCTGCGAGTTTTTAGGTTTAAATCGTAAGGGACAGATTACAGATACATGGGGAAGAACAAGAACAGGATGAAGCATGAAGCCGGTGGTAGCCAGCATAGTCCGGCTACCGTTTTCGTTGCCAATTTACCCTACACTTTCTCTAACCCACAGGCAAGCTTTTGACTTCACTTATGTGTGCATTTATTTGTCGATGTTTTTGTTGTTTGGAGTAAATCACAGGCAATGAACTGTAAATTTGACCTAAATTTCAGCTGGAGGAAACATTCAGCGATGTTGGACCAATTAGGCGGTGTTTCATGGTTACACAGAAAGGTAAGTTTCATGAATTAGTAGGTATCATAGGCTGCGTTGTTTTTCTATTTGTGTTCACTTTAATGTCAATTGCAATCAAGAAGTGGAAAGGAATGATAGTATGCATAACGAATTCAAACTCCAGAATTTGATTATTGAACTTCATAAATCCTGTGTCTCATAATTGACTAGGAGTTTAGACTTTCTGAGAAGATTGCTAACAATTGTAGGCTTTATAAGACGTAATGCAGTTTGATGTTTATTAAATTAAGAAGCGTTAGGATGAAGTTTAAAAGCATTCTTCACCAATTTGATGATTGAAACATTGTGATCGATACCAGACATTCTAACTGGAACATTGTTTTACAGGATCAACTGTACACCGTGGATTTGGTTATGTTCAATTGTAAGCTATATTTTATGCATGATTATACTATTTCTAGTGTGCTTATTTAATCCTCTTTGTTTCTTTTGGCAAATCACCATTAACATTCTTTCTTTTATTTCTTGTTTGTGTTTTAATAACAGTGCTGTGACTGAAGATGCTACACGTGCAATTGAGCTGAAAAATGGTGCATCAGTAGGAGGTCGCACCATTGGAGTTAAACATGCAACACATAGGGCTCCTCTTGAGCAAAGGAGATCTAAAGGGACTGAAGGTTCATATAATATAATTTTCTTTACACTCTCTTGTGTCCTTATCAACATTCTCTTTATTTTGATGCATAATTTGTTAAATGTAATTGCTTTTTAAACCCTTTTATTTTCTGTGACTTGGGGAGTTCAGTGCTCCCTTCTGATGATACCATCAAGGGAAAAGACCATGAGGATGATGTCACTAATGAAGTTATCAAGACAAAAGATGTTAAAGATGCTTCAGTAGTTAACTCTGATGATGTCATCAAGAAAAAAGATGACAAGGATGATTTATCAGCACCAATAGTAGAGCATAAACAAGCCCCTGATTCCCAAGAAAAAGGTTATTAGGCTTCAAATAGTGCAATGCCACTTTTAATATATTGTAGTGTACTATGAATTTAACACATTATTTCATTACTACCATTTGAATCTTCTACTATCAACAACATGATCCTCCTCTCTTATATATTCAGTCAAAATCAAGAAGCAGAAGAAGAAAGATGTGATCAAGAACATTGATGACAAGGATGATTTGTCAACACCAGTAGTAGAGCATAAACAAGCTCCTGATTCTGAAGAAAAAGGTTAGACTTCAAATAGTACAAAAGACTATTTGTAAGTTTGTAGTATCTATAAAATTATGTTATTGGAAATGTCTTTTGAGTTTAACACATTATTTCATTCGTGCAACTAGAATCTTCTACTACCAACAATGTGATCCTCTTTTTCTTCCATATTCAGTCAAAATCAAGAAGCCAAAGAAGAAAGCTGTGGTCAACAACAATGATGACAAGGATGATTTGTCAGCACCAGTAGTAGAACATAAACAAGCTCCTGATTCTCAAGAAAAAGGTTAGACTTCAAATAGTACAAAAGACTATTTGTAAGTTCTTAGTATCTATAGAAATTTACTAAAAAACTTGCTACAAAAGACTATTATAAGTATTAAGTAATTCTCCCCCCTTATATATATCCAGGCAAAATCAAGAAGCCAAAGAGTAAAGCAGTGATCCCTTTGAAAACTGAACGTGTAGAAGGAATTTCTTCAGAAAAACAGAGGGTTGCTAGGACAGTTGTAATTGGTGGGCTCCTCAATGCTGACATGGCAGAGGAGGTTCACAGTATTGCTAAGGAGTGTGGCTCAGTCTCTTCCATAACTTACCCTCTTCCTAAAGATGAAACAACACATCATGGTAAGAATAATATCTGTAATTCTGCTCATAAAATATACAAGAAATAACAAATTCTATAATACACAAGTGTTAAATATTTCAGGGCTTTTTCAAGATGGATGCAGATTAGGATCTTCATCTATAGTTTACACCAGTGTCAAATCAGCTCGTGCTTGTGTGGCAAAATTACATCAACAAAATTTAAATGGAGGCACAGTTTGGGCTAGACAATTAGGTGGAGAAGTAAGCTTCTATTTAAGATTTATAAACTTTTTTAAAAAAATTCACTGAATGTTTTTATCAGTTGTTTGTTAAGTGTGATCATGTAATGTGTGTTTTTTTTTAACCAGGGTTCCAAGGTACAGAAATGGAAGCTTATAATAAGAAATCTTCCTTTTAAGGTAAATTAAATTAACTGATTGTTAACTTATGGTATGAATAGTATCTAATCTGTCAAGTGTTTATTGGTTTTTTAATTTTGGGTTTAAATTATGAAATATAAATACAGGCGGATGTTAGTGAGATAAAAGAAATGTTTTCAGCAGCTGGGTTTGTATGGGATGTGTATATTCCCAAAAAACCTGATTCAGGGTATGTCTTTCTTGTCTTTTCTTTTGTCTTTATAAACAAAACAGTATTAAAAAAATGACTGATATTGAAACAAAAACCAAATTTAGGGACAAGTTTGGGAACATTTAAAGCACAGGGACTAAAATTGTAATTTACTTTTCCATTGCATTAAATATATCTTTTTTTTTACCAGGCTATCGAAGGGATTTGCATTTGTCAAATTCACCTGCAAGCAGGATGCAGAAAATGTATGGATAATGATAAATAAGTCGCACAAAGTTTTTATTTATATATTATTTTTTTCAACTTGAAGTTTTCATAACCTTTTTGTAATTATTTTATTCAGGCAATCCAAAAGTTTAATGGTAAAAATTTAGGTAAAAGGCCAATTGCTGTTGATTGGGCTGTTCCAAAAAATGTATATACAGCTGGTATTCAAGATACTCTAAAAGATGGTATAAAGTTTCTCTTTGCAATTTTATTATTTTTAAAACCTTCATTATTATTTTTATTTTTTCTTTTTATAATTTAATTGTGTTTATATGCTTATTTAATTTACAGAACAGAAAGAAAGTGATGATGAGGATTCTAGTACTGATTTGGAGGACAATGATAAGGAAACAGACAATGCAAATGTTCCGGAAGCTTCCAATTCAGATTCAGATTCAGATTCAGATTCAGAAGTAAATTTTGATGAAGAAGCAGATGTTACACAAAAAGTTCTAAATAACTTTCTTTCTTCATCAAATGAACCTATGGATTCTATCATTGATGATCATATTTCTCCCCAAAAGAAACAAAAAGATGAAGCAAACAACAAAACACTTACAACACCTAAAAACATTCCACATGTATCAAAACCTGAAAACTCAACAAAATTTGAAAAAAAAATCAAAACTCCTGAAGAGGAAGAAGAAGATTTACAAAAAACTCTCTTTATCTCCAATCTTCCATTTGATGTTACAAATGAGGAAGTAAAGCAACGATTTGCAGGATTTGGTGAAGTCCAATCCTTTGTTCCTGTTCTTCATCCAATCACCAAGTAATGATTTGAAAATTTTCTATTTAGTTTAAGGGCAAGTTAGTAATTTTATTAAATATCGTTTAAAATTATTCCTGCAGGAGACCAAGGGGAACTGGATTTCTAAAGTTTAAAACTGTTGAGGCAACCGATTCTGCTTTTTCAGCATCAACTGTAGCTGATTTGGGCATTATTTTAAAAGGAAGACAATTAAAAGTTTTAAAAGCTTTAAATAAAAAAGCAGCTCATGATAAAGAAGTAGAAAAGACAAAAAAGGAAGAACATGATCACCGTAATCTCTACTTAGCTAAAGTACATTTCTATTTTACTATTTCAATTTTCAACACTTTTTAATTAAAATTAACCCGAAAAGATTTTTAAATAATTTTCGTTTTTTTAATTTTTATAGGAAGGTCTTATTGTTGAAGGTACTCCAGCTGCTGAAGGTGTTTCAGATAGTGACATGTCAAAACGCCGATCGTAAGTAGTAAAAGTTTTTTTTTTTTTTTTTTTTGGCTTGTGAAAATTAAAAAAAGGGTAAAACGGTCATTTCATGTATTAATTTTAGGTTGGAGCAAAAGAAGGCAACGAAGCTTCAATCACCGAACTTCCATGTTTCAAGGACAAGACTGATCATGTACAATGTACCAAAGTCAATGAATGACAAACAACTAAAAAGACTTTGTATAGATGCAGTTACATCACGTGCCACAAAACAAAAACCCACAATCCGACAGGTATTTTTACACTTTTTACCCTCGGGGTTCCGTTTTTTACGTTTCTTACCCTTGATATGTTTTGTAGATTAAGTTATTGAAGGATTCCAACAAAGGAAAAGAAGTTTCGAAGAATCATTCTCGTGGTGTTGCTTTTATCGAGTTCACAGAACACGAACACGCACTTGTTGCTCTTAGAGTTCTCAATAATAATCCTGGTATGTTTTTCACAACTTTAGTCCCTTATCATTGAGTAATTTACAATTTTGGTCCTGGTTTCTTCAATTTTAGTCCCAAAAAGTTCTGTTACAAAACCTCAAATAAGGACCAAAATTGCAAAACTCAACAATACTCAGGGACCAAAAATGTAAATTTTACTCTTGGTTTTAATAAATATATTGTTTATGGAAAAACAGAAACTTTTACTCGTGAGCATCGACCAATTGTCGAATTTGCCCTCGATAATATTCAAACATTGAGGCAACGAAACGAGAAGATTGAATCTCAACAGCAAGGATTTGGTAACAATACAGAAAACAAAGTAAAAAATACGGATTTTCAAAAACCACCCTTTGACCGGTCAAACCACAATTTAAATAAGCGCAAACCCCAAGCTACAATGTCAAAAGTGGAAACCGAAAAACCCGCTAAGAAACAAAAGGAACATATGGAGGTCCAACAAGAAGGAAAAAAACCGAAAAGTGGCGGTGCCGCCTTCGAGCGGCCACCTCCGGTGGCCGATGTTCACCGGAAAAAGAGGCTGAGGGACCAGAAAGAGGCGGCGGTGGGTGAAGATTTGGGTTCAAAAAGAAGGAAAAATAAAGACCCGTTAGGGCAAGACACAACGGATAAACTCGATATGCTTATTGAACAATACCGGTCAAAATTTTCCGGTAACCGGACCACCAAAAGTGGCGGTGAAAACGACGGGCCCAGGCGGCTCGGGCGGTGGTTTCAGTCATAGTTAGTCAAAAGAGAATTTTATTGGTTATGTTAGATTTTACTATCTGTTTGAGTTGAATTTGGAACATTAATGATGATGAGTGATGACCCTTGAATTGAGGCTGGTTTTAGTGTTGGGACCATTTTGGTTGGTTGGGCCACTGTTGTGAATGGTCACACATAGTGGGTGTAAGCATGTGTTTTGCATTTAGTAGTTGTATTAAATTAAATCATCTTAAATGCCGAAAGTATAAGTATTTGATGCATGAGAAATTGAGAATACATGGTTATTAGATACTAATTTATAACATGTGGAACCATGGTTACAAAATTAATTAAATTTTCATCTTTCATCGTAAAAACTCAAAATTATTAATCATTATTTTAAATAAATTGTTAATTAAAAAATATTTTTTAATTATATAAAATTATAATCGTTGATTCAAATAAATATGTAGAATTATATTATTTTATAATATATATTAATTTTATTTTAATATTATTAATTTAATGTAATTAGAGTAGAAAATTTAAAATTTAGAATTTGAAATGATGAATCAATAGGTTGATGAATGACATGATATTAATTAAGAAACCTAAAAGGATTACACATGAAAAAAGAAATTATTAGTGTAGGGAGATATAAGACCATTCGGTGTACTTGATATGAGCACCTTCATGGTTTATGTGGATCATGACCACGACCGTGCACACCACCCCGACCGGTCGTGGTATCTTGTGTTCCCGACGACGAAATGAAACGACCAATCGTGTTCAATTTGCTTCTTTTGACCGTTGAATGGTTAATTTTTTTTTTCAAAAACTTATTACCTATATAAATAAAATCCTCACACTTACATTTCATCAAATTTCACTCTCATTCTAAACCAAAAAACACATGGAGGATTTGGAAGTGTTAAATTTTTTTGATTGGGATGATGATAGAGAATTTATCTCGACCTTCTTCAATGTTATACAACACATTCATGATGAAGAAAGTTTGAATGTTGCTCGTACAAGGGCAGTCGTCAATCATGATCGTCAAGCTGTACACGACTTATCGGTACGTGATTATTTCGCCGATAACTGTCTTTACAATGAAGACGCATTCAAACGTCGTTTCCATCTAAATAATGTGATATTTTACATATTAGTAACGCCCTAGAAGCTCGTTATGAGTTTTTCAAACAAAAACCCGACGTTAGAAAAAGAATGTGTTTTAGTAGTATACAAAAGTGTACGGCCATGCTTAGGTATTTGGGACACGGTATAGCATTTGATGCATCTGATGAATACTTAAAAGTATCCGAGAGGACCACAATTGATTGTGTAGATTGGTTTTATGCATGTGTATTTGAGGTTTTTCATCAATAATATTTGCGTAAAGCAACTTCACGTGATATTGAAAGATTATATTCGGCTCATGAAGAGAGACATGGATTTCCGAGTATGCTTGACAGTCTAGATTGTATGCATGTGGCTTAGGAAAAATGTCCAAATGCATGGCGTGGTCAATTCACTCGAGGAGATATAAGTGAATCAAGTATAATCCTAAAAGTTGTCGCATTTCAGGATTTATGCATATGCCATTCTTTTTTTGGAGTTGCGGGGTCTAACAATGACATTAACGTTCTTGACCAATCTTCATTTGGAGTTGCGAGATCTTTATACCGGCAAAACACCTGATATGACGTTCACGGTGAACAAACATTCATACAAATATGATTACTACCTTTGTAATGAGATATACCTGGATTATTCTACACATATTTGGTTCCTCGAAGTGAAAATGCAAAGTTGTTCGCAAAGAGACATGAATCAACGAGGAAGGATATCAAGAGGGCATTTGGAGTCCTCAAACATATGTGACATGTAGTGAAATATGCTACACGACTTTCAGATAAAGATATAATTAAACGAATGGTCCTAACATATTTATAATGCATAATATAATCATTGAAGATCAATGTCGATCGATTTGCACGTACGATCCGAACAATGTTGTCATCCCGCTTGAGGAGTTCGTACCCGGAACGAATGAATTTTTATCACGAGTTGTTGAATTCATAACAACGAAACGTGTTTCAATTTTCGAGAAGATGCCGCGGATCAATTGTACGAACTCAAGATAAATGGAGATTAGGTTTTTTTTTTTTTTTTTTTTTATTTTTATTTTTTTTTTATTTTTAAATTTTATTTAATTTTATTATTTTTTACTTATGTTTATTTGTTTTTTTTAATTAGGTTATTTAAGTATCACTCACCATTATAAGGCTTTATGGTATACTTATAACAAGCATGTGCGTGGTCTATGTGGGCACGAAAAAAAAATGTGAACACCATCCCATACACTTAGTGGTGGTTACTGTTGGAAAAATTGGTGGTCAAATGTGGTGGGGAGAACGGACAACAACATCCAATCAATTTTTTCTCTCTCCATGTCTCTCTATCTCTCTACCCCTCTCTACATTTTAATTAATTAAAATATATATTTTTTAATTTAGAAATAAAAAATAAGAAGAATATAGTGATGGGTATCCCATAGGTTTAGTGGTTGAATGTGGTGATGAGGTGGCACCCACCATTATAGTGGTTAGTGGTGAATATAACGGATGACCTAATGGTTAATGGTAGGTATAAAGGGATGATTTAATGAACTATTTTTGAAAAGAGCGCCGTTTGATTTGACTTTGTGTGTGACACCCATGTGGGTTACATGGCTTTGGCTTATTGATCATTAACTTATGCGTGTTGTAAATAGGTTAACATATCGATTATTACGTAAAATTTCGAGTTTTTATGTTTGGTTATATAATTTATATTTATAATTATATAATATATATTAATATATATACACCCACCTGTCCTACTAGCTCGATCATTGTTTGGATTGTTACACTTTCTAGTAGTCTTAAATAAAGGAGCTAAAAGTGGGTATTTTGGTGAATCTATTAGTTAGGTCGGTTTAAATGAGTTTTAATGGAAGGTTGGTAGTAGTGAGTTGTATCGTTGAACGTATTTAGTGAGTATTCACTTTGGGAGAGATCTTGACCTCTTAAATGTCAAGGAAATATTGTGATCTTGCCTTTTGTTTCAATAATACACAAATTAGTATATCAATTCTTGCAATTAAACCCTAGTCTATACTCTATACCATGGACCAACTATAAAAATTGTTGAGAAGAGATCACATGGATTACCATCATTGTCTTTTATTCTTGCGTATACATAAATGATACTTTATGATAAATACCTTGCACGTTTCAGTGATACCAGAAACCGTTTCATTTTTGGTTGCTTAATAAATACTCTTGAATCGGATATTTTTTGAACACCTAGATTTGTATTGGTTGCAACTAATAACAAATTCATTTCCTAAATTCTTTTTGGATATGGGCAAGGAGGCACAAAGAGATGGCATTGGTCTTTGCATAATCTACAAGTCATACCCTTTTGGCTAGAAAATCCAACTAGGGTAGCATAAATCTAGAAAAATAATTATTAAAGTTGTTATTGATTGAATAATGAATTATGTGTTTAAGTCATGAAAAGAGTAATATGCATAAGCTTTTCTTGGTTAATCTTTATTTAATCCAATAGAATATGATAGAATAAAGTTTTGGTCGATTTACAATCATGGGATTGTGATTGATGCTTCCAATCAAATTCTTTTACACAATATACTTTTTTACACAATTCAATTTATATGTAAAATAATATTTTGTTATTCATCATTCATCATCATATAGAAAGACTATATTAAAGAAGAAATGAAAGGGGGATGGAGTATAGTATAGGCAGCCAGGTATGCAAATTGTGTCATCACATGGTATGCTTTTGTCAATTCATGCATTTAAATGATTAATAATTGCACCATTTTTGGTTGCTTTATTCCTTTGTAACTTGGTTCTTATCAAAGTAGATATCAGCACCGACTCTATTTTGTCATATCCAGTTTTTATTTATTTATTTATTTATTCACAAATTCTATTATTTAATAAGTAAATATGTATGACTATGAGTCTTGTATACCTAAAAAAGATGAACAAAATACATTTTAGGCGACCAAGTAAGTTAGAATCCAAAATTCCTTATTTAGACACAATTTTTTTTTTCAAATATACATTATAATATAGTTCATCTATAGTTTTTAAATGTTATAAAACGGTAGAAATAATTTTGGGTTATGTATTTGAAGATATGATTATTCAAATACTTTTCTTTCTCTGAATAAATAGAAAAAAAAAAAGATATTTAAGTAATTACAAGTCATGTAGGTTTGTTTATTGCTAAGAAATCCAAATAAAATTGGATTATGTATTATCTCTTATTGGTGCGTAAAAGTAAGGTTTCTTGATCCGTCTAAACTTTTTTTTTTTATTCCTTCAATTTTATAGTTAACTAATTATATTATATATACTTATTAAAAAAATATTATCAAAATCATGTTTTAATTCTTTATTAGAAGAACTCTAAATGCTTTAAGAATTTAAATCAATACATTTCAGGCAGCTTATAAATATTTAAATTTTCTGCCCTCCACGTTATAACAATTATAAATACAAGAAAACTCAAATTAATCCTATTTTTGTAGTTGCATAATTTGAAATCAAAGTTTCAAACAAACTTATAAAATGAAAAGAACTAAAAAGAGAAAAAAAAATGGAGAATGGTCCTACTCTATAAGGTCATTATCGTACACGCAATAAACTTAAATTTTTGGATAAATTTATTTCAAAATGGGACCTTTGATAATAACATAACTTACCAACAAAAATCTATTACAATGTGAAGACAATCATAAAGTTAAGATCCAAAAAGGAAAAATAAAAGATTTGGAAACAACAATCTTCATATTTACATGTATTTGAATGATTCATTCACCCAAATGTGGCACATGCAAAAGCAATTGGTATGGTTTACATGTATTTGAATGATTTATTTATAAAAACTATAGTTTCCAAAATTATATAAATGTTATAAGTAATATTTGTTGTAAGTTGATGATATATACTTAATTTATGAGGGGTTATTGAGTTTCTTATGGAGGTAGAAAAGCAAAAGGAAGTCAAGAATATATAAAAATTACAATTGTTTTGAATAAAAACATCCTAATCTAATAATTTGATATTCCATCGACAATGAACAACCAAAAAGTTAAAGAAATATGGCGTATATAAAATATAGAATTTAACTCTCTTTGATATTTTATCCCACATTGCTAAGTAATAAATAAGTGAAGTAATAAAACTAATGATTCTGTAAATATAAA